TCATTGATTTTGTTATCTTTCTACCTTTTAATTATTGAAAGTTACTAAATTGAATGAATTTGTAGCTCTGCGATGGCTGCCATTACATGTTTTGCCGGACTGCACTATGGTCACATTCTTGTGCATTTTAGGGTAATATTCATCTTCTTTCTTGTCCCTTCATGACTCCCAACCCGTAAAACTATTTTCCATTTGTAATTTCCGATGTACACTGCAGGGCGAGATGTTGAGGGTGCTTTTGTGGTCCTTATCATCCCTAACTCTTCTGTTACTGGGAGTTTTTCTAAGTGTTTTAGGTAATTACACACTTTGAATAAATTATGGAAATTATCCACCTAGGTTCAAATAATTACTAAAAAGCGCTCCAATCATATATTTTAAAATCAACAACACTCACAAGGCTTTATTAACCATATTTAATCTTGGGAACTTTGTTTTTTATCTACTATGATGGTTTTTTTTTATTTTTTATTTTCAGGTGTTCCATTTTCTAAGCCACTGTACACCTTAAGTTATATGTTCATTACAGCAGGCGCATCCGGTTTTCTTTTGACTGCTATATATTTTATGGTGATCTTAGTCTGTAATAGTATATAATTTCTTTTAACTGGTGGATCCCTTTTAAATTAATCGTAGGTCACATTTTTCCAGTTGACATTTTTCTGTGATACAGGTTGATATCAAATGCATTAAAAGGCCAACCGTTATATTTAAGTGGATGGGAATGAATGCACTTATCGTGTATGCTTTGGCTGCTTGCGACATATTCCCAGCGGCTCTCCAAGGTTTTTACTGGCGTTCACCTGAAAACAACCTGGTAATTTTCGTAAAACTCCGTAACATATTTGTTTATATTTTAACTTGTCGCAAATTGAGATGTGGAGCAGAAAATTGGAGCCCGAAATGTGTTATATACATTATGTTAAATCTGCATTTTCAGATGGCCAAGTATATAATATGGATCTAGAATGTGGTCTATGATATCAATTACAATAGAGGATTGTGGCAAATCTATATTTTTGGGTAGTGCTATTAAATTAAATGAGAGCATGGGTCGGCGGAGCTCTTGTTAACACTTGAGTTTGACTCGAACTCGTTTATTAACGAGCCGAACTCAAACTCATTTAAAGTTCGTTTGGTTAATGAGTTGAACTTGAGCTCATTTAAAGTTCGTTTGGTTAATGAGCTGAACTTGAGCTCATTTAAAGTCCGCTTGGTTAACGAGTCGAGTTTAGCTCGACTCAATAGAAAATGCAGATTTTCGGGTGGCAATGGTTGGCACGACATGAAACACGAACACAACACGATAGAAAACACGATTACAAAGATACATGATTTGACTGGCACGACAAAAAAAAAAAAAATAGGAAAAATATTAGCTAAATTTGGAATTAGAATCGTATTTATGATCAAATAAAATTAGACCATACAAAAGCACGATATTGAATCACAAATACAACACAACACTACCATATGATTTGTTTTCTTGAAAACTCTTTGCATACTAAGATTGTACCCAAATGTTAGCAGCAATTTTGGCTTTGTGAAATTTCACTTTGCTAAGTGTAGAAACCACGTTGACCTGTGTAGGTTGACTTGTTTGAAAGGTCATTACAATTACTGTTTCAGTCGAACAAGTGGGGAACACTTGCATTTGTTGTGGTAGAGATCTTATTTTGGGGTGCTGTGGCTGGATTTCTTCACATGAAGCGTATTTACATAAAATTATAAGGCTTTCCATTTTGTATATTGTTGTTTTTATTTTTGTTTACATACTTGTATGTATGTCATTAAGGGTGTAATTGGAGATTTATTTGTGATTGAATATTTTGACTTTTTTTTTGTTTACCTATAGACTATAGTTCATTTCGAAAAGGATGGTTGAGTTAGGTTCGGGTGGGATTTTGTTTTTGTATTAAAATAAAATAATTAAAATTGATTTGATGTAAAAGTATGAGATAAGTGATTGAGAGTGATGAGTAGCTAAATGGTGTGAGTGGATGAACAGTGAAATAAAGTTGATTTGATGTGTAAAGATAATTTACTAATATTAAATTTTGAATTAAAAAAGTGAGTGGTGAAAACTCTTGCATGTAAATTTTTTTAATGTATGCATGTATATTTTTAAAGTAAAATGCCTTATTTTGCAAAATATAAAAATAAAATTATGATATTTCATCAAACAAGTGTAATTTTTTTATTAAAAAATATATGGTCGGTCATGGTCTAACAATTAGGCTTCTTTATGCAAGAATCCATCAAAACAAAAAAAATATTGAGCATGTAAAAAATTCAAACATTTTTAACTCAACTACTATTTCTAATTCAAGTTTGGCTCAACTTTAATATTGTCAATATTATTAAATAATATCAACTAATCATTCTTACACATCACATCAACTTTAATTCACTATTTATCTACTCATAAAATTTTAACTAACCATCACTTCAAATCATCTCTCTTCTACTTTTACATCAAATTTATTTACTTATTTTATTTCAAATATTATTTTAATATATCACTAACAATTAACCATAGCACATTTAAAATTAATTAAATTAAACTCAAAAATTCAATCAAATAAAATAAAATTATATCCAAGCATCCCAATGAGTTGTGGGCACAAAAGTGAGGCAGATCGATATAATCGAGGTTGGTAAAGGCCTCATGAGTCAAAAACATTTGTGGGCATACTTTTTATATAACGTTAAATTAATGTGAAAAAAGTGGAAAACAATTAAACAGGTGCCATCGAGTACAGAACCACCCAAACAAGAATCTAATAAAACAGGCCGAAATTATTTAAATTTTGAAAAGCTCAGAATCACAGCTATGCGCTCTGGGCCCAGTAATCAGGTGATTTGTTTTGCAGTTTTTTGGCTACACCTACACTACACATGGTAAAATATTAATTTTCCATATTTGCTTATCACTATAATTGCAATTAATCACAATAAAATTAATGTTATGTTACAAGGTTTATATTGCTTTTATTAGGATTACAACGTAACATGATTTTTTGTATGAGGTAGTTTAACTTTAGGCAGTCAATCCGCCATATTTTTCTAATAAAAATACACATATATTATTTAATAAAAACGTATTTAATGTTATGAAAAACTATATTTTTGTTTAAATTATTTTTTAATATTAGATTTTATTTAAAATATGCATATTTATTTAAAAAGTATTGCATTATAATCTCACTCATAAGTCATAACATAGTTGTTTTACTTGAATTTGTATACCATATTACTGAGATGATAGATTATTTAATTTCCTTAATTCACCCACATAATTTAAAATTGGATTTTTTATAACCTAAAATAGTAAAACGAATCAACATCTATATCTATATCTATATCTATATATATATATAAAGAGGTTGTTGGAAAAATACATTAATAGAAAGTTTGACCAAATAAATATAATGTTTGACTTACTATTAATAGAAAATTTGAAAAAACACATGTAAATCTATAGAGACAAAATTTGAATCCTATATTTTCGATAACAAATTTGGAGATTCTTATGGCAAAATTTGAATCCCTTTTTTTCGTATCATATTTTATTCTTTTACCAAAATTTAAATCATATCTTTTTTGGTAATAAATTTAGAGATTCTTATGCAAAAAATGTGTCAATTATTTATGAAAACAATTCTAAATACAAATCAATTTAAAAATCGTGCAAATTGGATACCAAATTACGAAACAAAAAGTTGTATAATTTTTAACCAATTCTTCCATTCTTAGTGAATAATTTTTTCTTTCAAAAAAAGTGTGTAAATTGGTTAAAACCACGTGCAATTTTTATTTTAAAACAAAACTGATATTTGGACGGGATGTACATTCAAAATTATGCCCACATTTTTTGGTAACAAAAGTGGTTCATCTTTTAAAATAATTAATTGCACACCATATTTAGAAAGTTTTAAATATTTTAAATCATAAAATAGGGTAGCATTAAATGCCCCTAAAATTATGGGTTTTGTTAAATTCATTTTTGAAAATTTCGACAGATATTATAGTGAATATGAAATTCAAAATCTCTTCTCATTTTATTTTTAATAAAACCTGCATCCAAATTTACGTGTGGTTTTGAAGTAAAAATTTGAAATTCAAAAATCTCTTCTCATTTTAGTTACAAGAAAATCGGACTGCATTCAACTCTTGGACCAATTTAAAAATTATTCCTTAAATGAAGAAATTTATAGATAATTGTTATCTCTACTCAATCACATGATTATTTTCAATATAAAAAGAGACAGATTACAAATTAGTGAATCATATATTACCTAATTTAATATCTTAATATTAAGGAATAAATTCATAGTATTATGTAAATCCGTATCTCATATTATTATAGCATTAAGAATATATTATAGTTATATTATCAAATCTTTTAAAGATATTAAATCCATATTGTAAAAAAAAATAATTCATATAATTTTATAACAATTCAACTACACTATTTAACAATATTCCTTTTTATTATATAATAAAATAATAATTAGATAATATATATTGAACAACAATAAGTAAAACTGTTACTTTCTCTTATATCAAGGAATAAATTTATATGCTAAAATTAAATTTTTATTAGTATAAATGTTTTAGTGAGATAATATATTAATTACAAGCTAGCCTTAACATGCTCATATTAGATGTTCTTGCTAAAAAAACAACGCTGGTTAAAAGATATGGAAAAAAACTTATAATAACCCTATAAAGTTGATTAAAAGAGGTAGAAAATAGATAATAACTCTATTATTTTTTAAACTTAAATGGACAAAAGTGTGAAAATAACTCATTTAATATCACAATCTCGTGCATCGCACGGGGTACATACTAGTTTTTACATAATATAGTCCCTATAAAATCCTCGCTAAGCCAAAATTGACATCAAATCGGACTCTTTTAAGGAATATTTATTTCCGGCTTTGCCCTAATAATCAACTCTCCCTTTCTCCCTCTCTCTCCGGTATTGGTGCGATAATATGAAAGGCAGCGTCGGCGGTGGCCGGCCGAGCTTCCAGGTCTGCGGCGGAGAAAGGAGGCTGGATATAGTCAGCGGAAGAGGCCACTACAACAATAACAACAACGGCGGCCTGACGTATGCGACGAGCTACCCCTGGACGCCCGATCCACCGCCGTTCCGGCCTGAAGCGGCTGCTCCGGCGGAGGCGGCGGCGGCGAAGCCGTGGGGATTCGGTGACCCGGATATGAAGCGGCGGAAGAGGATAGCGAAATACAAGGTGTACACCGTCGAAGGTAGGGTGAAGGCCTCCATAAGAAACGGGTTTCGTTGGATAAAAAACAAATGCTCCGACATTATCCATGGCTATTAAGCTAATCAGTTTAGATTTTCATTTTTTATTTTTGCTTTTTTCCCCCTTTATTATCAGAAGCTGATATATGTTATGGTTTCCTTTTTATTTTTTGGTATTTTTATGATTTATGGGATGCCGAAAATTTGAAAGGGTGCTGATTTTTTTCCCAATTTTCGTTGATTTGTTAATCCCAAGGAAAAATTGTGTTTACAGTAATCGTGATTTTCCTTTTTCAGCAGAAATAAATCCCATTCGTAGATGACATTGGTGACAAATGATGAATATGAATTATTAGAGATGTTGAAACAAAATCAGTTGGTTTTTGGCTTGCTTGGTTAAGTGATATGACTTAGAGCATGTTTGGATACAAAATTTTTCAAAAAAATCCAAACATTTTTAACTCAACTACTTTTTTTTTAACTCAACCCCACTATCATCAATATTATCAATATAATTAAATAATATCAATCAATCATTCTTACACACCACCTTAATTCACTATTCATCCACTCACATAATTTTAACTAACCATCACTTCAAATTTTCTCTCTCCTACTTTACATCAAATCAACTTTAATTATTTTATTTTAAATATTATTTAATATACCCACTAACAACTAACCATACCAACTTTTTCAAAATTAACCAAATCAAACAAAAAAATCCAAACAAAACCAAAATTTTTAGATCCTATCATCCTCTTAAGGAGTGGAGCTGAGTAAATAAATTCATAATATGCGTTCTTATGTAATTTTCTAAGACTCAGAGTTTGTCTTGTTAGTGCTCAAATTCAATTCGATAGGATTGATAAATGAGTTGACGTTCCAAATGACTTATTTGAAATGCTATCCAAGGAAACTTATGAGATAAGCTCGAACTTTTTAAAAAAATTATTTCTACCATATCAAGTTTAATTGAATATATGAAGCTTATAAGTTCATCAAATAATATATAAACTAACTTATGATGTTTACCAAACGTATTCTAGTAATTCATTTCAATAAAGGTTCGAACCTAACCGAGGAGTACTAGAGTATAAACAACCCTAGCTCAAATATAAAAAAAAACTTGAGCTCTGATTGACTCGTTTACAACTTATTACAACAACCTCTTTTGTGTTTATTTTGTGTGGATCACATCACACACCAAACCAAAAGCTCAATTAGGTCGCTTTTGGAGCACACGAAATTTCTGCTGAAGGGCTTAATGGTGTGCTTGTTTATAAAATAATCTGCTCAATATGAGTTTGTTTGGTTAATTAGAGTTAATTTTAAAAAAAGATGGTATGAATAATTGTTAGTGGGATTTAGAGTTTATAATAAATAATATTTAAAATAAAATAATTAAAATTATTATTATTTTTTTTTTGGTACAATGAACCTTCCAGTTTCCGAATCCCCTAGGGGACCGACTAATCCGGAATCGAGCTGGGTAGGACCACAAGGGCGGCAAAGCTCTACCTCAAGAGTTTTAACACAGCTGCATTCCCAGGGCTCGAACTCGAGACCTTTGGTTAAGCTGGGAGAGACCTCAACCATCTCACCCACGTGCTCTTGGGTATAATTAAAATTATTTTGATGTAAGGTGAGAGATTATATGAAGTGATAGTTAATTAAAATTATGTGAGTGAATTAAAGTTGATTTTATGTGTAAGAATGATTGGTTTGTATTATTTAATTATATGAATAATATTAAATATAGTGGGTTTGAGTTAAAGTTGAATTATATTTTGAGTATGGATTAAATGTGACTATTTTTGTTGTTATAAAAAAGCACCTTCTGAAGCCCGTTTCCTTATTTCTTTTCGCATCGGTACATGAGCCTATAGTGGCAGGCTCATGCAACTGGAATGGACACAAACTCCAGTTTTAGCCGATTTCAACATTTTTTACCGTTTTCATGAATGCATTATATATCGGTCTAATAAAAGAGGGAAAAGTACATAACTAACTCACTCATAAAAAAATATTCTATTAAACAGCAGATTATATTGAATTCCAAAAATACCATTTTCATTCCAACAACCGTAAAACCACCAAATTAAATAGAAACTGTTTTAATTTTAAAAATTAAATATCTTATTTTCCTTCTCTCCTTTTCTTTTCTCTTTTTCTTCTCTCTTTTCTTTTCTTTTCAACGTTTCCTCCATCTTTATTTCTTCTTTAATTCTTTTTCTTCTTCTTCAATTTCTCTTCTTCTCCTCCTCCTCCTCTTTTTCTTCTTCTTCTTCTTCAAACATTCATTATAAAAGCAACACAAAAAAAAATTGTTATTGCAATTAAAAAAATTAATAATGTAGTTTATAAAAAACAAAAACATGGTATGAGTTTCGTAACAACAAAACAACAATAAAACATAACACACAAAACAACAAAAAAATAACAACAAAACAACAAATATATATATATATATATATATATGAAAAAAACAACTTTCTACAAGTTGAGATAAAAAAATGAAGATAATCATGAAACCAATCACAAATGTTTAAGAGCCCCAATACACCAAATTACATATAGATTTTGTGAACACAAATAATCACATGAACACTTGTAGCACCTTTTATTTACAAGCAAATTATATTCATATGCAATGAAATGATGTAATACAGATAATGAACAGAGATTCAAAAAGCACTACTTAAAAAAAATGCAAAACCATAAAACATTGCACAAACACATTAGAAAAATTAGCAATAGTCAAATTTTCTAGAAAAAAAAAAAAATATTAATTTTCATTACCTGGTAACCATGGTTCATGAATGGCCCCGACAAGTTGGAATATCTCATCAACCCAAATCTCCGCCAGGCCGCAACCCCTAAACCCGCCGACGACCCATATCGAGATGGAGGATCCAATTTACGAGTGTGGAAGAGGACGAGTACGAAGTTTTGGTCGGCTAAGACGTGGCCCTCACAAGCGCCACTTGATGAATCTCTACCAACAACAGGCGGGAGTTTAGTTATTTTTCACGATATTAAGATTCAATTTCAATATTAACTTCCTTTTAAACTGCTATTACCATAATTATATTATCGTAAGATTTATTATTTTAGTATGTTTGCAAATAAAATACATGTTTTCTGTTACTTTGCAATTAATTATACATTAATTTACTTTTTAATTTTCATGGATCACTATACAAAAGTCTGCATGTCCCTATGGGTCATGATAGTGGCCCAATGAAAACTTCAAACATAGAAAGCTCAGTAATCAAATAACATATTGCCTAGTGGACGCACAACTAAATGGCCCATTCATCATTTCCTCTCCTTTCTTTTTAACATTTTGAATGTTAAAAAAAAAAGCAAAAATAAATAAACAAAATTGTAACTTGATTTTCCAGCAGTTGATTCCTTTTTTTCCCATGAAAGTGAGATTGAGATATATGAGGTGACATGAGTGACTGTAAAAAGCAAAATTACAGTGATAATGGGCCCAGACGGTAACGGCACAAGTTCTTCTTCTTCATCTCCATCGGCGACGGCGACTGTTAAACGAGGCAGAGATCTAGAAGACGAAGTTTATGTCGATAATCTTCACTCTCACAAGCGCTATCTTAGCGAGGTTTTTCTTTTTGTATATTTTTATTTATTAATTTTGGTGTTTTTGTTATGTATTATTCAATAATTGTTGGGGCCATGGAAATTGAAGTGTTTGGTACATGATCGGTGTAATTTAGATCCAATTCTGTGTGTGCGCAGCTACAATTTTGGTTAGGTAACTGTGGAATTTGTCAAGTCTATCTGAATTTTGAGATTGCTATATGCATTTTATGAGCTAATAAAAGTGTCAATTGATGATTTTTTTCAATGCTTTTCCCTTTTCACTGTTATCCACAGTGAAATTGCTTGTGATTGTGGTTGTTTTTGGAATGAGTCTCTTGCTTGCTTTCGGGTTTATGATTCGAATGTTTGGATAGTCGTTGTAATGTAATGATAGGTTTATTGGCTCATAAGATTTTTCGTTCTGCGTGCAGATTATGGCTTCGAGTCTTAATGGGCTTACGGTTGGAGAATCTTTGTCTGAGAATCTTATGGATTCTCCCGTGAGGTCCGAAAGCATGATGTCTGGTCTCAGGTTAGTAGTCGTTTTACGATGTTTTTGTAGATTAGTGAACTAGGAAAATGTATGCAACGTGTCTCTATCGTAAGTATTCCATATGCAAGTGTTTACTCGAATATTTTTTGTCTTGGAATCGTCACGTGATTAAGAAGTTGCATGATCAAGATTTCTGTAATGTGAGCACTTTGTGTAGATTGCATCGATGAAATATCTAAATTAGAAAAAAAAAAAAAAAAAAANAAAAAAAAAAAAAAAAAAATCACTAGTACAAAAAGGCGAACAAATTGGCTAGCATGTACATCTTTCGAGCTTATGATTTGTAGTTTTTGACAAAGATTGTGAGAGTTCTAATGTATCTTTGAACACGGAATATTTTGTGCACTTATAAGCTACGAAATGTGGCATGTCGTTTGCAAATGAGAAGTAGTTTCGAATCCAAAACAAGGTGAATTTTGCAATAAATGAATTTCCATTGACGAAAATTTTTGCAAAGCGGAACGAATTGATGTTACTTTGATAAACTTAATCAAGCTTTTGCCACACAGTGTTCGTGATGAACTTTAAATTCCACGTCGAATGAGAGAAAAAAAGTGACCGTGACCAATTAATTTGTATCGAGCTGTTGTAACTGTTATAAAACTGTTTTACTTTCCCCATCTGTTTCTTTCGATAATTTCTTTCGATATCGATGGTTTTACATTAGTCATTGAATCCCATACAAATCAAGGTGAATTTTGCAATAAATGAATTTATTGACGATAAATTTTGCAAAGCGGAAGGCTTACGAGTTGATGTTACTTTGATAAACTTAATCAAGCTTTTGCCACATTGTTCATGATGAACTTTAAATTCCACATCGAATGAGAGAAGAAAAAGTGACCGATACCTATTAATTTCTATCGAGCTGTTGTAACTGTCATAAAAGTGTATTAGTCCCCTTTGTTTCTTTCGAATTTCGATATCAGTTGTTTTAGATTAGTCATTGAATCCCATATAGTCTCTAAAACCTCTATAACCTTAGGGATGAACTATCGGTTCAGTACTCCCCAATGTCAGAGGACTCAGATGACTTGAGATACCACGAAAGCCCCACGAGAAACACATGCTCGTCTCAGCCTGAGAGTGCACCCACTAGCCCTGTGTCCCCCCACAGGGGACAAAAGCCTCTGTCCGCCTACATTGCGTCATCTTCGACTACCTACCCCTGCGCCACCTCATCCGCCATGTCGCCACTGCCACGTCAGCGTGGGTCCGACAACGAGGCCCGATTCCCATCCTCGCCCAGCGACATATGCCACACGGCTGACCTAAGGAAGGCCGCGCTTTTGAGGTCCGTGCAGATGAGGGCCCAGCCCGCAGGCCCGGCCCAATTTGAGGTTGATGAGCCGAGCATGAATGTGAAAGGTGATGAATCTGGTGGTGGATGAAATGGGTCGATTATGAACGTGTCGTGGCCTGCCGGTTATCATGTGTATCGGCTTACGAAGGAAGTTTGATGTATAATTAGCACAGATACACTGGGTTTTGCTAATGTTGTACAATTTGTGTCTTGAGAGGATTTTATAACTGATTCTTGCTATGGCCAACTACAAAAGCAGCAACTTTTGAAGATTGCTGTGGTGTACATTAGTTGTATAAATGTAGAAGGATTTATGCACCTGGTACACAACAAAAAAACTCGAAAGACCTTTATTTTTTAAGTTGTTGCTCAAAATTCAGCTGTATTCTTACAATGATTAAAATAAAATAGAAAAAGAAAAGAAAGAATAAAGTAGATGATAGTTTCAAGCGTGAACATTTTTTCAACAAATGTACATGTTTCAAACTGGAATTTCATATTTTAAAAACAACATAAACAAAAGCATGATGTTTGTTAACATAAATATGCATGTTTTTTAAAAGAAAGTATGATGCATTCTTTTTAAAAAAGACTATGACAGGTCGACTCGCCTAATAGTTAGCCAACCTCATGCAAGAATTTTGTATCTTAAGAGCTCTATATGTTCATACAACTGATATCGTACAAATCATGAGACAAAATGTCGTTCCTGATGAATCAACAGCCTGCGGCAAATCTTCAATGTGCATTGTCTCATTTTCCATTGTCGAATTTGGCGTCTTTCACGACTAAAACACTGGTTGATAACGAATGACAAAAGAATAAACGAGATAATTCTTCATTGAGAAATGTTACATTGTCAATCTAGTGTACAATTAGATTGACAACACAAGTAAAAAACATCCACATAAATAAAAATAAAAAAAAATACACAAGTAGATATTTTCAGTTGTGTTGTCAACCTAGTTCTACAGTAGGTTGGCTATATATCATTTTTCTTCTTCAAAACATTCAACTAACTCACTACAAAAGTAGATATTAAATCTTAGAGGATGCTTGGATACAAAACTTATCCAAAAAATTCAAACACTTTTACCTCAACTACTTTTTTTAACTCAACTTTAACTCAACCCAACTAATATTAATATTATTAATACAATTAAATAATATCCACCAATCATTCTTACACATTACATCAACCTTAATTCACTATTCATCCTCTCACATAATTTTAACTAACCATCACTATTCATCCTCTCACATAATTTTAACTAACCTTAATTATTTTATTTTAAATATTATTTTAATATACCACTAACAATTAATCATACCACCTTTTTCAAAATTAACCAAACCAAACCAAAAAAATTCAAACAAATCCAAAAAAATTTATATCCAAGCATCCTCAAAAAAATTTGAGCTGCCTAGCTCAATACTCAACCAACTCATTTCATAGCTCTACAAGCGGTTAATTTGAGCTGCAAAAAAATTAACGACCAGGCGCTTAACAAATACAAAACAATGGGCTGAACTGTAGTACTGGGCTTTGCTTTGCTAGAGTTTAACTTCATGGGCTGTATTCTGGTCTTTGGCTTTGTTGCTACTAGGTCTACTGAGTTAGTTCGGCTCAATTCGTCCAAACTCGAGTTCGGTTTACTTATTAATTCGAATCTATATATATATAATAAAAATTAACATTTACCATAAATAGTAGTAAGGAAAAGTCAACCACATTTATTATATACTATTTTCAGCAACTTTTACATTTTACATTTTAATTTTAATTCATTATCAAAAAATTGGATGGTTCCTAAATTAATGGGTTTTAAATGCACGTATCATGTTTCAAAAATTATAAATCATTTAAAATCGGAGGGTTCATAAATTAATGGTTACAAACTTTTCAAAGTTGTAATCTTTATGGCATCTTTTCTTTTTGACTTTTAATAATAAATTTATTTTAAATATATATATTCTAATCCAAAAATTCAATCATATTAAATATATATATATTGAACGCTAAAAATATTTTTTAAATTGCATACCCAATCAATTAATCTTAATTTTTTTAAAATTACTATGTTTATTTTTTATTAATATGCATAAAATAAAAATAAATAGTTCAACTTTGGATATATAATTTATAATCTTAATATACTATCATTTGGTGTAGACATATGAATCATAAAATATTTTTATTTCATAAAATTAAATATTATATTTAAAGAAAATAAGGAAATTACTTTGGATCAATCGGGTGATTGAATTAGGGTACTGCCCACTTTGATTGAATTACTTTTAGATGATATTTAAAATAGTAAAAAAACTTGACATAACTTGGTTGGTCCGAGGTAATTAAGTTATGTATCAGTTTGACCAGACCAAATTGATTATTGAACCTAAATATAAATTTTAATATTGAAAATACTTTATTACGTGAATGTGATATAGTCCAAACTTCAAATAATCATATTAACAATACTTTTATGACAACATGATTAATGATTTATGAATATTTATATATCATTTTATTATTATTTATGTGAACAAAATATTTATTTCATTATCATTTTTATTAATGTACGGTAAATATAAGGTTTTCAGAATCAGACCGTCTTGTGGTTGTTCAGATTTTAATACATAATACTTTAATATATATATATATATATAGTACTTTTTGTAATAAATTTAAATAAAAAGTGTTACTTAAATATCTAAACAATTTATAAATTCAAATGTTTAAACTAATTGATAAACAATTTATAAATCTCTGTTTTATTTAAATATGTAATTTTATTTAAAATAATTTTTCATGTAACAAAATTTGTTTAGATTGTATCGATCTTACCAGTCCAACATACTGGTGTTGGCGGATTCGATAGCAAATATTTTATTCAAGCGCACTAAATTGATTATAAATCGGTTCTCGGTCCATCCGGTCGGACTGTATCCAACCCGGTTTAATTTATAAATAATGGGTAAATCATGATTAATGTTATTTATTTATTTAATTTATAATACAATCAAAATATTATTTTCCCGTGCATCGCACGGGCCACGTACTAGTTCATTTAATAACATATTTAATTAACAAATAAAGTTTAACTCGTTAAAAATAGGAGATTTTATGTAATTTATCAAAATACTTTATAGTTCGATTCACTAAAACTCAAGTTTCATTTATTAATTTGATAAACGAGTCAGTGCTCAAAATCGCTCATCAACTCAATTATATAACAAATTAAGCTTAGTTCAATTAGTTTATAAAGCTATTAAATACAACGAGTCGATCATAAACTCGGCTCTCATTTTTTTATAAAGTTTTTTTTTTTTTTTTGGTACAATTTTATAAACTTTTTAATAGTTAGGCTCAACTGATGTAGCGGTGGAGTCGTGGTGCCAGGTGGGGAAAAAGGGCCAAATGACATATGATACCACGTGGCGCGTTCTTATTGGTTCGCGCGAGCTGGAGCCTTCTCTGATTGGTCCGTTCCCCCAAGACCCACGTTGCAAACTCAACCCCCTTGACCCTTCGTTGATTTCTGAGCACTTTTTTTCTCGAAAATATGAAGACTTCGTATAATCTTCCACAGTTAATCATAGCAATAAGAAATCATAAATCTTTCGAATCATACATTCATATTCATACGACTCCGAACATTCGTACTTCCAATCGTGCTACCTCTCGTGGAGGAATTCGCAAATCCGTAGGCTGCTGATGTTGTTGGCTTGACGATCCGATCCAAAACCCTAGCTGCGATCGTGTTTCTAATTTTGATTTCTGTGCCTTGCGGTTATGGCGCTTCGCAGATCGAAATTGTTGCTGTTTTTGTGCTTAGCATCGTATTACCTGATCGCCATTGCAGCGTGGGTGCTAAAGATTTGTTTTTGTGTTTAACTGTTGATTAATCGCAGTGTAGTCATGGTTAAAATCACATCATTTATGTTGTTTCTGGTTTTCGTATTGGTGCAGGAAGAGTTACTATGATATTCTGCAAGTGCCAAAAGGAGCCTCGGATGAGCAGATTAAACGTGCCTATCGGAAGCTTGCTTTGAAGTATCATCCGGATAAGAATCCAGGAAATGAAGAGGCGAATAAGAAATTCGCAGAGATTAATAATGGTATTTTCGACTTATTATTTGTCTGTGTTAATAGGTTAGGATTAGTGGTGCTGTTAGTGGTGATGTATTGGGTGATTCTGACTGTGTTGTAACTTTGTATGGTACATTGCTTTTAGCTTATGAAGTTTTGTCGGATGGTGAAAAGAGAAGCATATATGATAGATATGGTGAAGAAGGTCTTAAACAGCATGCTGCTAGTGGAGGCAAAGGAGGGGGTGGAATGAATATTCAAGATATTTTCAGCTCGTAAGTTCATTTAAATTTTATGATAATTTTGGTCTGTTCAAAGTAGTCTTGATATTTGAATTATTACAGTATATGTTGATGACTAGTCTTTTCTTATACTTTACGAATGGCAAAAGTTGGTAGCTATTTCATTGACAATCATATATGTTGATAACTATTCGTTACTGAATTATATATTTTAGTTTTCTTTTTATTGGTTTAGTTTTGTGTGTTTGTAGTTTTTCTTTTTATATTTTTCTAATTCAGTTCATGAATTCAGCAAGCTAAGTCACTGCATGATGTAAGGAAATCGGCACTTGGTTCTTTTCATTACTTATAGGAAGGGTGCATATGTTATCTCCATTGGGGTTTATTGACAGCCAAATGATGTCATTTGATCAGAAATCTAAAATGCATCATTTTATCCAACTTTTGAGCCTCTTTTATGTGGCTTTAGGACTTGATGGTTCTGCTTTTGCCTTAAAGTTATATAACCATGTGGTAATTAAAATATAGCACGTCTTCTGTTATTATGATATCACTATCAATATATCACCTAGCAAGCTAGCAATTATGATAAATCTGCTATATTTTACCTTCTATTATTTCTTTATGAAGTTTGCAGAAATTTCTGGAGTATTTCTATTGATTTTGAGATTGAGGTTATGTCCATAATTCTGTTTGCTGCGTGCTAATAAAGAAATATGTTTCCAGATTTTTTGGTGGAGGTTCAATGGAAGAGGAAGAGAAGGTTGTGAAAGGCGATGATGTGATTGTTGATTTGGATGCCACACTTGAAGATCTTTATTTGGGGGGAACTCTGAAGGTAGTGAATATTCCTACCAAAGACGAAATTTATTTGTATCAGAATGAATTCTTTGATATGGAAGAGAATATTTAATATCATTAATTTAATAGTAAAAAAAAAAAAAACGAGAAATGCTATAGGTACATAATATTGTACATAATACTCACATTGAGTGGGACCGACCAAAAATAAAAAATCAAGTGGACCCCACTCCATGTGAGTGTTATGTACACCTCTGTGTACATTTATTATGTACTTGTAGCATTTTAAAAAAGAAAAATTAGGCCAAAAAGTAGTTGCTAACGATATATGCAGGTAGGTCATATAATTGGCCTTGTGCTATGGGATCTCATTATAAATTAAGATTTCGAGTCATATTGTCTCTGGGATTTAAAGTATTATAATTTGCTGTGAAAACCTGAACATGATATTCTGAAATAATAAGCAGTCTGTAAGTTACGATAGCGAGCCATTGTCTCTGAGATATGAGGTATTATAATTTTCTGTGAAAACCTGAACATGATATTATAAAATAATAAATAGTCCACATAGAATGTTTATCTGAGCCAATCTAGACTTACGCAAGTCATATTTTCTGAAATTCAACAGGTCTGGAGGGTGAAAAATGTAATTAAACCAGCTGCAGGTAAGAGACGTTGCAATTGTAGAAATGAGGTTTATCACAGGCAAATTGGTCCGGGAATGTTTCAGCAGATGACGGAGGAGGTATGTTTTCCCCAGTGACAAACTGCAAAATATTGTTTGTAGCAGCAAATCATTTTGACTCGTCTACTGAATGCTGTTTCATCTATTAAACATCGATAAATTTTGTACTTTCCAGGTTTGTGATCAGTGCCCTAATGTGAAGTATGAAAGGGAGGGTGATTTTGTCACTGTGGATATTGAGAAAGGAATGCAGGATGGACAAGTAAGTTTCTCTTATTTTTCTTTGATCTTTTGTGGTGTACTGTCCAGGAATCTTGATAATTATTGTAAAGAGGATGACCAACGCTTGTTCTTGAAAGTAAATGGAAGAGTATTTTCATTTTTAAGTTGTTCACATCGTAATAATTGAAGTCTAAAAATGGATTTTTTTTTTTTTTTAATTAAGTTTCAAGAGAAGTTCTTTCTTTTCCCCTATCTTTTAAATGAAAAAAATAAGTAAGTTGTTACTTTCTCGATCAACAGGAGGTGGTATTTTATGAAGAAGGTGAACCAAAAATTGATGGTGAGCCTGGAGATCTTAAGGTATTCATTATTGGCATATAGTTACAGCAATGAATCTTTCTTTTAATATCTAATTTATTCAATATTTTGCGTTTCTTGATTGGTTATTTATTTATTTATTTATTTATATGCAGTTCCGCATACGCACGGCACCCCATGACCGCTTCAGAAGGGAAGGCAATGACTTGCATACCACAGTCACTATTACCCTGGTAATATTTTTCAGCACATCACATTCTTATAACATCTTTTTTATTTATTTGTTCTTTTTTTTTTTCTGGTGGTGGATAGAAGTATGTAAAAAACTTCATTGTTTAATCCAAGCCGTTTGTATTTTCAGGTTCAAGCTCTTGTTGGCTTCGAGAAAACCATTAAACACCTTGACGAACATTTGGTGGACATCAGCTTCAAGGTTAGTGGCATATTCATTCATTTTACTGCAAATCCAAACGAATGGCTAAGTTGCATAGAGGATTAGGTCTGATTGTAAATTTGATTCTTTTTTTACCCCTTCATTCTCGGTCAGGGTATAACTAAGCCAAAGGAAGTACGAAAATATAAAGGCGAAGGTATGCCACTACATTTTAACAATAAGAAGGGAAATTTGTACGTCACGTTTGAGGTTCTATTCCCAACCTTATTAACAGAGGATCAGAAGACAAAGATCAAGGAAGCACTAGGTTAGATATATATACATACAGTTATTCGGTAGCAAGAAAGAGCTTAGCTACAGTTATTCTCTTTTGTATGCTTTTTCAGTTTTGTTCACTTTGTAGATCATTTGTGAGATGTAAACGGTACTCAGGATATCCTGGGACATCGGCATTCAGTTCTCGTCACGTTAGCTTGATTATTAATTCTATATCTGTCACTTGATAACAGTAATCCAGCTTTGTGACATATGAATTGTTGATTTAGAATTCCTATCCTTCATGAAACTATTCAGATCTGTGAGATATTAACCCAACCCTATAGTTCCTCAATTAAGTGCTTAAAATCAAGTCCAAATACTTTGTCATACTACGAGTCTAAGGGTGATTGAGCGTTCCAATTCCAAATATGAAACAAGTATCAAGCAGTTATTGGATGATTTGGTGAATTTATAAGATTTTTGTAATTTGGTGAATTTATAAGATTTTTGTATTTAAATAATTTTTGTTTGGTGGGATGAGCTTAACGAAATCTTGACGTTATGTCGTAAGTTTCCTTGGTTTTATTTTAACAAAAACCAATTGAAATTTTTATCATATTAATAAATTGTTCGGCTATCGTCAATAAATTATCAGCTTAAGGTTTGAAATTAACTTATGAACTATAAGTAACGTGTCAGTTATCAGCTACAGCTAGATTTACAAATATCCAATATTATATTAAAAATATCCAATATATTAATATAATGATACCTCGTGTCAACCAGTAGCTCATGGTGAAATGGAACAAACAATATATGTTCAACATAACCAACTGTTAAAAGATATGTCAACTTGTAGCACATTGTAAAATGGAACAAATTCAGTATATCTTATTGCTAATAAATAATTGTTTTCCATTTGATTAATAGAAGTACTACACTACCATTAACATCCACCGTAATTGTTCACGCCAAAAAACAATTGTTTTCCATTTGAAACAAAATATATAAACAAATAAACACCATAAAAATCTGGTAATAAACTGCTGGTACATCTCAGTCAACTGATAACACCTTCTCCTCATCAGTGTCAAAGGCCTTCCTTGCTTGCTTAAGTTCTTCATTCATCGACAACAATTCTGTGCAGCGGTTTAGTTTCGGCAAATCCTACAAAATCACAGTTATATGTACATATGAATATATAATATTTCTGTCACTGAATAAAAATATATAATATTTCTGTCACTGAATAAAGACGCATTGAAAACCATCTTAAAAGGATTCATATAATGGTTCGATCACAAGCAATGTACCTTGCGAATCAGAAAAAGGAAGTCCTCTGTCAAAAGCTTTCCTCTTTTTGATGCAACATCTTGAGCTTTATGGACCTGTGGAAGTTACTATCAGAATTCACAATTTTGCTCCAATAAGAACAAAAGATAATTGAAGATGCAAATTAAAAGACCCCATTGAAAAGTTTAACCGGAAAACGAACAAGACTTGCCATATCGGTGACATACTCCACAACAATATCCTCAACAAGAGAGACGGTCTCTGGAAGTGGCTGCAGCACATGATTCGATGAAACTAAATATTAAACGCATAAAAGAGTATAAAAAAGGGACTAAAGAAAAGTTAACAAAGATGGACTACAATTTTATACACAAAATTCGAGGGGAAAAATACATGGCAAAGCAAATGAGATTCATATCTATCGAAGTAAAAGGACTTACATGTAGTTCATCCCCAAAGCCATACATCATATGCTGCACTGTAGCACCCATAAAAATTATTAGTCATCGAAACATACAATACAAAATAGCATCTGAAAAATGAATTCAAGCAATGTTAGACTCACATTCCTTCTGAAACATCCCACGTTTTCGCTTGAATGAGTTTTCGGATGGTTGGGAAGAACCGACTCTAGCTTTGGATGAAGGTCCTGCTGTCGTGTTACTCATCCTCCTCTAGATAGCAAAATTTTCGCCAATTAGAAAGGACAAATACAGAGACACGAAAACAAACATGAACAAAGAGCATTTAGGAATAATTTGTAGAGAAAATTGCAACTTTAGTCTTCTATGTTATCAACCATAACTTTCTGGTCCCCTTCAAATTGTTGTTTTGAATTTTGTCCCTATGTTTGCAATAAGGTTCCAAAAAGGTCCCCTTTGAATGTGCAAAAAGGTTGCAATTTCATCCCTTGTGTATGGTCGGCGCGTTTTTTGAATCTTTTTGCAAACATAAGGGGCAAAAATCAAACAACAATTTGAAGGTGATGGAAAAGTTAGGGTAAATAGCAATTTTCTCTAATGAATATTCTCTGCAGCCAAAAAAAACTACATGGCTTGCAAATTGAATTACAAGGTTCTTTTCAACATTATTTGAATTTCCAAACATAAATGATCAAAACCATCAGCTTGAAGTTAAGAGAGTGGTCGGATTGTTAACTAAAATATATCACACATCCATGACATTGTGAAATTCCCAACTCAACTGCAGCAGCTATGAACAAAGTAAGTTCTACATAAAAATTAAGCAATATTTCAGCCAAATATTGAGCCCTAAAACTAGGAAACATATAAATTGCATAAAAATAAACTGGATTCAGATCAATCTCATTCTTGTGAGGCCTCTAACAATCCAATCATTGATTTTGATCGCCACCTCAAAATCAATTGGAAGAAAAAATAGCTGCTGCAGGTCGATTGGATCACAAAATTGAACTAAAAAAACACAAATTCGCACACAGAATGAAGAGGAGCAGCAAAAAAGATCACTCAATTCCAAGTAATAATTAATCGCAGAAGAAACAGAAATGGAGATTACGACTTGCGTTCACAAAGCTTCAAATGGATGTAGCTTGATAAGAGACCCAACCCGATTTCAACCAGTTGCACGAGAGGAGTAAAGTCCGAATTTTCGGTTCGACCAATATTAAAACCGAAAACCGAACCGAAAACTACGGTTCGGGTCGGTTTCAAACCGAAAATTTATCGGTTATTTCGGTTCGGTGATCGGTTATCCGACAAAATGGAGAAATGACAAAAATAAAATTTACAAATAACAATAGATACAGATTGTCTCCAATAAATCAGTATTCAATAAATGCACAACTCTCAGAAATCATCAGAAATTCAGAATCCTATTCAATTCAAGAGCAAGACCATCAAAAAATTCAAGTTTTTTCTTAGTATTACAGTAGGTCACAGAAGCAGATTGGTTCAACATGTCAGTATGTCACAACAATTTGGAAAGCCACAAGCCACAACCGTACAGCTCAAATCACAGGCATAAAAATCAACCCAAAAAAATATGAGCTCAAATTGGGTGGGTGCAACCCGTACAATGAATCACGACTCACAGGCCCAATGAAGAATGAGAGATTCAAAGCCAGAAAAGAAAATTACGAATCTGAGTTGCAGCCCTTACGAGGGGATTTGGGTGGCGAACTCAATTGAGAAGACGAGCGTCAGGACGGCCTGCGGGGTGGAGTGTGTGCGAGAGCAAAAACGACCGAGGGAGGCGATGTGGGATTTCAAAATTCCGGCGATTTTGTGCGCCGACGCCGAGCAAAGGGAGATGGAGCGGGTGATTTTGTGCACCGTGCGGCGGACGGGCGGAGAAGTGCAGTGCTAGGTGGGGTTTTCTGGAGGATGAGACGATGAGTGACCGTGAGAGACGATTTGTACTGGAGGATAATATCTGCTTCTGTCGATGAAATTGGACTATTGGAGTGATAAATTGGGCATGCTTAGTGCTTTGTGGTGGGCGGCCCGTTAACTAATGGCAATTGGATTGAATAATATATACTGGGCCTTTTTTAATTTATATAATATCGATTTTCGGTTCAGTTCGTTTAACCGACGGATTATAATTAAACCGAATTGAAAACTGAAAAATTAAGTAACTTAAAACCGATAACCGAACCAATATGTCGGTTTCGGTTTCAGTCGAAACCAAAAATTCAATTTCGGTCGATTATTCAAAATTTGTGCAGCCCTAATTATAACTATTGGGCTTTAGCTAAGTGAATGTATAGGCTGAATATATATTTGATAATAGGCTAACCAACGGGCTTGACGAGTCTTAATGAGTCGAGTTGAGATAATATTTTATAAAATTACTTAAAATTCATATTCTCGAGCTAAGTTTGACTTGGTTTTTTAACTAAATGAGCTCAAACTTAACACTTTATAAGTCGAGCTCACGGGCACCTCATTCGATTTAGCAATTTTAGGACTGACTTACGTCAATCGACAATCATATTGAAGAAAGTGTTATGTCATGCAACGTCTTGGTTCACTCTTATTGAATGTTAAATTTTGGTCATTGTGTATGATTTTTTTGTATTTTCATCACATTTTTAATAATTGTCGGCCCAAAGCTCGATGTCACATCTAATTACACGGCCATTAATGACAATTTATTTGTATTTAGTTTATTACTACTCGTGTACTCACCAAATGTCCCGCAAACATGGACCTAATTGCCACATCTAACCACACCAATAAATACAACTTGTAATTGTCCAACACTACCCATCATGTTAATTAATAGTACTAATTATCTTTAAATATTTGAAAATAAAACAGTTTTTATTATTTAAGTTTTAAATACTTAAAAAATTATATCATTTTTTTATTTAAAATGATATATGTCATCCGTATTACTCTCGAGTTTTATATTATAATATTTTCTTAATTCATAGATAACTTTTTTAATTGGTAATAAAAAAATTTATTATTTCCCAATTGAAATTATTGATTATATATTTATAAAGGTGGATATGATTATACATATACATGCAATGTAAATGTTCAATCAATTGTAGTCATGATTAAATTAATAGATTACATATTAAATTGGGATAATAAATAACAATATATATTAAGAATAAAAATGTTAATGTTATCAAAACCTAACTGAACTTATATTCATAGGCATTTCCTTTCAGGAGGGTACAAGTTGAAAAGTGAAAACCAAACACTTCTGGATCATGCGGCCATTAATCACTGCTTAATGGCTAATAATAGCTTCTTATGGGTCATTACTGGCGATATTAACAAAGAAATCCTAGCCTTTGAGGGTCATTAAATTGGCTTATACGAACAATTCCCAACCAATAATATTGTCCTGAAATCGGTATAACATCAAACGTGTATCGTGTAAAGATATGAGGTTCAAAAATTATATATTGGGTAATCATCCCACATGTAACTCGTCCTTCGGAGTTGTTAAATTAAACGAGCTTCTAGTGAGCTCGGCTCGTTTAATAAACAAATCGAGCTCGAGTTAATTTAAAACTCCTTCAATTAATGAACCAAGTTTGATTCTGCTCGGCAAGACTCGTTGAAGCTAAAAGGAAAACGATTTATATGTGTTTTTCTATAGTTCGGCTCTATTTTGGCTCGAGCGGCTCGTTAATATTGATAAACAAGCGAAACTCAAGCTCAATTATAAGCTCGTTAAGTTAACAAGTTGAGCTGAGCTCGGCTCGTTAATTGCTCGAGCTCGACTTGACTCATTTACACCTGTACCCGTCAAAATTTCTTAATTTCATATCATACTTCTACAATTTATTATTTTTCAAAACATATCATCATATTGATGAACAGTAACTAATTGAAAATATAATATATCCAAGCCGTCCAAAATGTCCTATGTATGTTTGTTTTTGAACATGAACCTAACTTCAAACTAAGGGGTAAGCAATTGTTTTGCACCAGAAAACTAAAAACTTTGAACATATAAAAAAAAACAACTGAACNATAATAACTGAAGAACACTGATGTAGGAAAAAAAAAGAGTAACCAAAACATTATGGAATTTTTACACATCAAGAATAAAAACTTTCCCCTCGGTTTTTGGTTTTGACCCCTACCTCAACGGACCTCATACGGATAATTATTTTGATCGATACTGGACCAGGCCTGTTTCTACTTTTCGGCCCAAATGAATCTGGACCAGGCTGTAATGGCCCATTTTACAGCTCGATTGCAATTTGCTGCACACCTGTACAAATTCAGAGTCAAACTGACGGACACGCCACGCAGCCTTTGTATTTCAACGACAACACATCCACGTGGCATTCGTACAGTATCCCGAACACATTTGGGTCACGCGTGTCCTGATGCTTTTTATTTTTTCCTTTTTCTTATTTTCATTTGTTTATACGTAGTAATTAGCAAATATCAAAAGTATGTAAATTAGATTATGTAAAAAAATACAGTAATTTCGATTTCATTTAATGTGTTGGCAAACTAATTTGGTTTTTCTCATGATAGGCAGGCATGAATTTAATCAAACGCATGCCAAACCAGTTGATCTTCAATTTTTTATACAATCAAATGATGTGTAAAATTGTAGGAAGGTCCATCTGTTTATTAGTAGGTTGATTAATTGCTTAATTTCAAGCCTACTCGAGGTAATTGAGTGGCATTGTGAAATTAGTGCATTTAATAACTAATATTTGATCACAATAATATAAAATGACATGTAGCCAATACTAATGTTCCATTTGTTTGTGATATGAAAATATTTCAAAGGTGATAAAAATAGCTGGTAGATGATTGATTTAATGTATTTTACCAAATAATTGAAATAATTTAAAAGAACCATGCAAAATGTTTGACAAACAATTAACTGTTTCATATGTAAAAGTAACCTAAAATTGCAGATATGTATTCCAATCAATTTCGTTATGGAGTTTTTATTAAAGTTAGTGATTTGAATTCGGATATAAATAAATATATATTTATATTATTAGATTTCATGCTATTGTTGTATTATTTTAATAGAGTATGACATTTTGTTCAAAATATGAATACTGAAAAAGTATGACTGAACTAATCATTATAGCTTTAGTAGTTCAAATGAACATAAATTGCGCTCAAATTAGAAAATACTTTAAGTAAGTCGAACAGTTCGACAATCGTATTTTTTCAATGTATATGTATACTTTTAGTATAAATGTCACTCTAAAACAATATAAATAAAATCACGATATTTCATAATATGAATATGATTTTATGAATTCGACTTGCCTAATAATTAACTATTTCAGCAAAAATTTGTGTTATACACCCAAATTTGATCAATTATCATTTATCAAAACCATATGACTATTTATATGGATATTTGAACTCTTAATCGATAAAATCATCTCCAAATTCCCAATAACAAAATAATATGCAATATTCACCCGAATTGTTTCACATCGAAATTCACCTTTTTTTTTTTATATTTTAAATTCATTTTGGTTTTGTCGTTCAATAAAAGTTCGATTGGGGCCCAGGTTGGTTTGAATATTAGCAGTCGGCAAAAATATCGCGAGAGAGAAAAGAGAGTATTCTTCTCCGTGTTGGTCACCTTCCTCGTCTCGAAGTCATTATTAAACAACTTTCTAAAAGCCCAAAAAAAAAAAAGAAGTTATTTTCTCCTCCTATCCACCATTAACGCACACCTTGCCCTGTCCTCACGATTTACAGGGGGAGGTCTCAAATTCAAAGATCGTTGGCTCACGCAAAAATCCTGCTCCCAATTTCTAGGAGCAGCTGCATATAGATTACACGCACATACACACAATACACAGCCGCTGAACAAGCTTTGTGTGGAATTTTGTTTTAGGAAATTTTCAGGCAATGGATGCTCTGTGTTTCAAGGCAGGGATCCACGGCGTGCTGGCCGCCGCCGCCGCCGGAAATGGGGAGGTCCGATTGAGCGACAGGTCGTCGGTTTCTGCGGCGCCGCAGAGGAATTCGCCGTGGGGGTTCACTTTCCGGCACCCGCTCAGATCCCTGTGGTCTGGGGGCAAAAATCGGTACGAGCCGGCAATCGCAGTGGACGACGCCGTTTTGGTGGAGGAGAAGGAGGTTGTGAGAGAGGGCGATGATGAGTCAGGGCGTGGTGGGAGCTGGGTGTCGAAGATTCTTCACGTGAGGTCTCTCTGGAAGGAGGAAGGGAGGGTTGGTAATTGTGTGGAGAAAATGGGGGCAAAATGGGAAGAGGGGATTGAGAATGGCGGTGGAGAGGACGATGAAGGATGTGATCTGTGCACGGTTGATTATGAGGACGATGGTGATGATGAAGAAAGGATTGAATTCGATCGAGAATCGTTCTCGAAGCTTCTGCGAAAGGTGCCGTTGGGTGAAGCTAGATTATATGCCCAAATGTCTTATTTGGGAAGCTTGGCTTATTCCATCCCCCAAATCAAGGTTTGATACTTTTACTGTGATTTTGATATGTTTGGTTCTCTCTAGTTTACATTCATCTTCAAGAATTTAAGAACATTGAAGGTCCTGGATTCATTTTGGTTCATCTGTTTTTTGTTAATGTTAGCATATATAAGCCTGTTTTTTGAAGTTGTGGATCTTCTCAACCAATTTCATTTTTTTCATTGGTAATGTTGTTTGGTTATGGAGCTTGTGGCAATATCTGAAATTTTTTGTGTTTAATGTTCGATTCTGATCACTGCAAGGGGGGTCTTATTGGTAAAATGGATTATAGTTTATGCAGTCGGTTCGTATTGCTTTCTTAGTAGTTTTTATTTGTATTTTGTTTTCTTATGAGTTACTTTTTTTGTTCTCACTTGTGTAGTCAGTTTGTTGTGTTATCTGAGGAGTCTTGTAGCTCATGGTTTGAGCTGAGCTGCATAATTGTTCATGTCGGTGACATTTTGTTTGTTTGTTTTTTTTTTATCTTTTTTTCCCTTCCTTACTTCTTTCTGTTATAAGGTCANAATGATGAGTACAGCCGAAGAACCTGCTAAGGTCTCGTGGACTAAATTTCGTGACTTCATCCTTGGAGAAAAGGGAACAGTCATCGAAATCGGAGAAGGATAAGGCACCAGCCGAAGAGGGACAAAGTGAAATCGAGCCAGAAGCAGAAGCCGAAGATGAAGATGCCAAAAGTAGCCAAACGGAGCCTAACGGATACCGGATAAGTACATCAGCTGCCTATCAAATTGCAGCTTCAGCTGCTTCCTATTTACACGCTCACACAAAAAGTATCCTTCGCTTTAAATCCTCCACCAACTCGACCCCAGATGAAAATCTACCTGAAAAAGTCAATGCGGATATATTAGGCTGTGTTGACATGATGAATCAAGATGTGGCCTCATTGATGGCTACTACAGACTCGGTGACGGCAGTTGTTGCTGCTAAAGAGGAAGTGAAGCAGGCCGTTGCGGATGATCTGAACTCGACTCGTTCTTCGCCTTGTGAGTGGTTCATCTGTGATGATGATCAGAGTGCCACGAGATTCTTTGTCATACAGGTATTGAAGAAGTTTATTAGCCTCTGATTCATACTGTTTGTCTTCATTAGAATGGCACTTGTTCTTAAAAAAGTGTTTGAATGTTATTTACAGGGATCCGAGTCGCTAGCTTCATGGCAGGCCAATCTTTTGTTCGAGCCCATTCAGTTTGAGGTATTTTGGCTGTATTAAAGCTTGCAAATCATTTTCTCTGCGTTTTAAGGTTTTACTTTTAGATGCTTGTGTGTATTCACAGAGACAGGCTACTATTTATTATTTGTTTTAATTGCGGAAATAATTTTTTTTTTTTAAAAACTGTTACTTAATTTTAGGCCAAAAAGTAGTTGCTAACGATATATGCAGGTAGGTCATATAGTTTGCCTTGGTTCTATGGGATCTCATTTCGAGTCATATTGCCTCTGAGATTTAAAGTAATTATAATTTGCTGTGGAAACCTGAACATGATATTATGAAATAATAAGCAGTCCATGTTAGTTAAAATATGGAGCCATTGTCTCTGAGATTTAAGGTATTATAATTTTCTGTGAAAACCTAAACATGATATTATGAAATTTTTAATAAAACATAGAATGTTTATCTGGGCCAATCTAGATTTATGAAATAACAAACAATTACTTAATTTTACTTTTTTTTTGGTCCTTTGCAAAAAGATTATGGAGCAATCCCTTCTGGTAAGGAAGCTCCGTGGAAAATCATCTGGCTTAAGTTTCTCGTTTATGTGGGTTTGTGGGATAATTGTTCAGAATGGTTTTTGATAAGGAGGGAAAAAAAAAAGGCCAAAAGGAAATAAACATAATTTGTTTCCCATTTTTTAGGGGCTGGATGTTCTGGTGCACAGAGGTATATACGAGGCAGCAAAAGGGATATATGAGCAGATGCTGCCTGAAATACACGCACACCTTAAATCCCACGGCCCTCGAGCCGCATTGCGTTTCACGGGGCACTCTCTTGGCGGGAGTTTATCGTTGCTTGTAAATCTCATGCTTCTCATAAGAGGCGAAGCTCCACGTTCGTCTTTGCTCCCCGTGATAACTTTCGGTGCACCCTCGATTATGTGCGGTGGGGATCGACTGCTGCACAAGCTGGGTTTGCCTCGCAATCATGTCCAATCGATTACGATGCACAGGGACATTGTTCCCCGAGCTTTCTCATGCCAATACCCTAACCATGTGGCCAAGTTTCTCAAAGCTGTTAATGGGAACTTCCGCGGCCTACCGTGTCTTAATAAACAGGTCCACGCTTATCGTATAATATTATCAAGTGATTATTGCATAAACCAGTGTTGAAGATTTAATGTAATTACCAACTTCACGCGTGATATACATATACCAGAACAACATGAAAATGAAAAACTTGTGTAGGAAAATTTCATAGGTTTTAAGGTGAAACAATGATATCAATAGTTGGTTCAAGAAGCAAGACTACTGTATACAAGTACAATATTTTGTTTGCGAATGTTTATTATGACATTAGAAGATCCGAGAACTGACAATGCACCTTCCTCATTACAACAGCCCCTTTAAAGTGTCACGAACACCCTCTTACGGAATGTATTTACCTGCACATAGCTTTTTGCACGGGGTGCAATTTGTATAATAAGGCTATGTTTGGTAAAATAGCTGAAATAGCTGATAGTTAGCTTATAGCTTATAAGTGATTTTCGAGCTTATAGCTTATAAGCTAGCTTATATGATAAAAGTGTTTGGTCAAATTAGCTGATAAGCTAGCTGAAATAAAAATTTCAACGAGCTTATTTGAAAAGCTACCCAAAGAAGCTTATGAGATAAGCTCAAGCTCTTTAAAAAACCTCGTCCTACCAAACGAATCTTATTTAAATACATGAAGCTTATAAGTTAACCAAATAAGCTATAAGCTATCTTATTTGGTTATCAAACATAGCCTTAAGTAGATATTGCGTTTTCTTGTTCTCGGTCTTCGTTCTTTCCTTTGGTTATCTAGATGGGCTAAAAAACATCAAGGGTTTAGTTTCTATAATTACCCAATATTGATCAAACTATTACCATTCACACATTTTGGCTAAAACACACTCTGTTACATTTATTTATTTATTTTTTTTTCTCGTCAAACAGAAGCTGTTATATGCCCCAATGGGGGAGTTACTAATCCTCCAACCGGACAAAAAGTTTTCTCCGAGCCACGATCTTCTTCCTTCGGGCAGCGGTCTCTATCTGCTGACCTGTCAAGAATCGAACATCACTGAGGCCGAAAAGCAAATCCGATCTGCCCAGACCATATTTTTGAACTCGCCACATCCTCTTGAAATACTGAGTGACCGATCAGCTTACGGGTCAGGAGGCAGCATTCAGAGGGACCATGACATGAATTCCTATCTTAAATCTGTAAGGAATATAATCCGCCAGGAACTGGGCCGGGCCCGGAAAGCCCAAAGAGAGAGGCGCCGCAAGGCCTGGTGGCCTCTGGTGGGCCCGCGTGGGGTCAGTGCGGGTATTGTCTTTAGCAGGCCCATTGTGTCGGGCAGCAGCGTGCGCCAAGGCCCGATAAACTTCTCTGGCATTATGCACAATGGTCGCAAGTCACTGAGGCGGTTTAGTCGGTTAGTTGCGTCGCAGAACATGCATTTGCTTGTGATGCTTTTGGTCCCTGCTAAGTTTTTGCTCATAGTGGGGAAGTCTAGTTTGGTGGGGTTTCATTGATGGATTAAACATTTAAACCACAAAAAATGAGACTGATTCTTTATTCGTTTAGCAGTTTGGCTAAAGGAGACAAAAGTATATGTTGGTGTCCCCTGGTTCTGTGGAAGGCTATGTAGATGGGGTTATTGTGTACTGTACAAGATGATAAATTATTCTACACGGATACCATATTTACATTTATTTTACTTTTTCTGTAAATTTATTTTCACTGTGATTAGATGAAATTTGGTTGATAGGGCTTATACCTGTTAAACGAAATGAGCCACTCGGCTCGGTTTGGCTCGATAAGACTCAGTAAGATAATTTTATATAATTTTGTATAATTCGGTTTGTATAATAATGATAAACGAGTAGAGCTCGAGCTTAATTTTTGGTTTGTTTACTTAATGTGCGGAGCTTTGTTTACAAGGCTTTCTTGGGTTGATTAAGGCAACAGATAATCAAAATTTGGTTGATGGCGACATGGCTTGGTTCGGCCTTGCAGTCATCGCCGGTGATTTGACGGTAAAAAAATACCACGTTTGCAACTTACTGGTATGGTGAAATCTAGCCTTAAAATGTTTTGTCTCAACATATATAACTTGTGGAAAAAAAATTATTGACAAAGAGATGTAATATTATTGTAGCGTAATTGGAACATAAACGAGATGGTTTGAGTGGCACTTGGCAGTACTTGAAGAAACACACATCACTTTCACCTTAATAATTCCGTATAAGAAACAAAAACTATATATGTACACATAAAAAAATGGTTATCAATCACTTAAAATGAAGTTGTGTTCGGGTTTTAAGGAAGTTGTGTTCGGGTTTTTACACGTTGAAAAAAAAAAATCCAATTTCTATACCTAACACCAGCAGATATTAGCCATTTAATTCCTGGAATATGACATTTCAGTATCCATTATTTATCCCTCTTTGAAGTGATTGTATTGTTCTATTTGCCGTTGAAGAGAATTTGACTTACCATATATGGTATTATCATTTGAAATTCTTGACAAGTTGCCTTTTGTTAGTACCATCATATTGCCCAGCTACTTGTACTAAGTCCAAAGTGGCTCGCTCTCAATACTTTCCATGCAAATTGATTGATATTTGGGTTGAACTCAAGGAAATGGAAAGTGGCCCGCTCCCAATATTTAGGCGTACAGTGGTTCGTTTCGTATAAAATCTCTTGGGTTGTGGAAAAATAGATAAATTGATTTATTCTATTGGGCCAAACTCAAACTCAAATAAACCTTTATTCTACAGCCCAAATACTGTTACAGGCTACATAATTTCCTGAAGGTCCATACTATCAACATCCAAATCCAAATCCAATAAAACTAGGACCGCGACCGGACACGTGTCGTCACCGCCCAAATTTTCACGCTCCCGCCACAGCACCGAAATTAAATCGAAAACCTGAAAGTAAATCCCTCCTTTATCCTTGATTTTCCCATTTTGCCCCACATTGCGACCTTAATTTGCTCTTCTCCCCCATTGCCCTCCTTCCTCGAGAAGCCATTCCGAAATAAATTCCACTGTATCAAAATCATCTGAATAAAAATTTCCATTGATTTTTACTGTGAATAAGCTTCTCGGTTATCTTTCGTTAACTTAATCTTCTACAGTGATTCTCCCTGCGGTGCTTGTGGCGCAGTTCAGTGTTTGAAATCCAATGCAGGAGAGCAAGCAAGTTGTTGCATATGACGACCCTTCAAAGACCTTTTTTGGAGTTCGCTTTGTTCTTCTGGGATTCGACCCTGTCAAAAGAGATAAGGTAGTTTTTTATTTCTTTTATTCGTAAAGTTTATGAAGTTTATGAGTTGTATTTCGTTAATTTCTGCAACTGCATTTTTTTTCTGGCTCCCAAAGTTGATTATTGATGATTGTTTTGAGACTGGGAATTGGATGTTTTGTGAATCAGGTCCGGTGGAAGCTCTTAGAAGGTGGAGGAATTGATGCTGTGAGCTATGGTCCGGATTGTACTCACGTGATTGTTGATAAGCTTACTTATGTGAGTTGGAAAATTTCACTTGAATAATCGATTGGGTTTTAGAAATTTAGGCACATCTGGGTTTCATCATTAACTCTGGGATTTGCCTAAATATGTCTGTTTTCTTACTTGTTTTACGAAAATTCATTCATAGTTGTATATGTTTTGATTCTGTTAATCCAATGATGTATATAGACGCCATTATGTCCTTTGTCTTTGTTGTAGGATGACCCAATGTGCATTGCTGCAAGAAGAGATGGCAAGGCAGTTGTGAATGCCTTGTGGGTTGACCATAGTTTTGATGTGGGAATGCCTGTTGATCCCTCATCGGTAAGCTAATTGCCTATTATTCGGTTACTTGGATTTTGGCTATGTTCAGTTTGTCGATTTATTTTCCTCCTATGTGAAATGTCATTTTAAAGCATTAGTTGCATTATGTATTTTGTGTTTGCCCATGTTGATTGCTTGTGGTTTCAACTATATCCACATGTACTCCCAAATGTGCATTTCTCAACACTTGTTATGACTCTGAAAGTATTAAATGACTCTGGCTTAGTACATCTAGTGTTTTGTTTGACTTCCCTTGACAATAATGACCTGCCCTGTTTCATATTGTGTTTTAAATCCTTTTCAGGTAATGTACAGGCCTATGAGAGATTTGAATGGGATTACAGGTGCAAAATCTTTGGTTGTGTGCTTGACTGGATATCAACGGCAGGACCGTGATGATATAATGGTTCTCACAAGCTACTTACTTCTTCAGCTTTTTTATTACTAACAGTGTAGTTCTTGTGCAGTAAGTTCCGTTGAGTACTTTGGTGATACGTTCTTACTGTAAGCTATTGTGTTTTTGTAGAACATGGTTGCCTTAATGGGTGCAATTTTTTCGAAGCCATTGGTGGCAAACAAAGTTACTCATCTGATATGCTACAAGTTTGAGGGTGGGTTCTCCTATCTTGTATTTAGCAATGACATCAATTTAAAAGATTAAACGCTTTAAGTTTTTACTTAAAAATATTCTGACATTAAGGTCTCGCCATGCTTTAGAATAGTGATATTTATTGTTATTCTTCGACAGGTGAGAAGTATGAGCTGGCCAAGAAATTGAAGAAGATAAAGCTAGTTAACCATCGTTGGTTAGAAGATTGGTATGCCAAAATTTTGATTCCTCGCCAATGATAGATTTGGATACGACGAACTGAATTATTTTATTATATATGCATGTTCACACTGCCCCTTCACTCCTTTATAATTTTGTCCTTTTGCACATTTTTAGTTTGAAGGCTTGGGAGCTTCTTCCAGAATCTGATTATGATAAAAGGTAACTAATCAAAATGTTCTATCCCTTTCTTTTTTTTTTTTTTTTTAAGAATCATTGGTAGCATACAAATAAGTCATATGCTAATCTTAACCTTTTTTACAGTGGATACGAGTTAGAGATGATGGCTGAAGCTAAGGATTCAGAAGAGGAGACTGAAGACATGGCTACTGCAATAGATTTTGGAAGGAAAAACGTTGTGGGTCCTCAAGATACACCAGCTGAGAACAGAAATTTTCACCACTCACTAGTGAAGCCTGAAACTTCACATAATAGTTTACAAGGTCAAAGTGCATGTACAGTTCTTGAAAATGCTGGGACCATCAGCAATAAGATTCATTCAAGTCCCGGACAAGGCATTCATGATGAGCATCTCAAACTGCTGAGCCCTGGAAAAATTTCCCCTCGAGTGCTGTCAAACACGCTCCACTACACAAGCATTTCTGATAAGGTTGATGATGTCTTAGCTTCAGCTCCAGCAACTGAAATGGATAAGAAGTCACCTGATGTTGACATGTCCAAATTAAGCTGCAAGAGCAATTGCAGAAGTACTCCCAGTAAACACAGTTCCTCAGTAAGATTGGAAAGAATTCAACAAAGAAGTCCTCGAAATGCAAATAATTTTGGTGGCAGTGATGGTTTTCACGTTGATTATGGTGTAGAGACGCCTCCAAAAGAACCTTTACCATCCCATGAAGAGTTCCAAACTGCAAAGACGCCGAATAGGAGCAGAAAAACTTTTTCCGGAGGTGGTTCTAAATCGCCATCTCTGAATCTCTGCATTGATCGTGAAGTAAGAACACCTTTAATGGGAACCCATGATGCAAGCCAATCTGCAAAATCGCCCGATAAGAGGGAAAACTCAACATCTCTGAATCTCTGCATTGATCGTGAAGTAAAAACACCTTTAATGGGAACCCGTGATGCAAGTCAATCTGCAAAATCACCGGATAAGAGAGAAAACTCACCATCTCTGAATCTCTGCATTGATCGTGAAGTAAATACACCTTTAATGGGAAGCCGTGATGCAAGCCAAACAGCAAAATCACCCGATAAGAGGGAAAAATCAGTCTTGAAATCACCCATTTTGAGCCGTGATTCGAAGATAGCAATTGGAAATGAGCTGACTACAAAATCCCTTGATCATTTAAGTGGGTTAGCTAGTGATATTCCACAAAAAGCTGTTGCCGGCCGTTTTTCGAGAATGGAAGCTTCTTCGGCTACAGAATCTCTTAATATTTCCCTCATAGGTCAGAAAAAGCAGATCATGCCTAGTTCCGATGTGAAGGACCTTTCTTCAATTTATTGTGATGTACAGGATATTGAACCTCCAGTAGTGAAACCCAACTCAGGAATTGAAACAACGGATGGCCAGGATGATCTGAATGGTACACTTGAAGGAAATACGGTGCCACAGACAAAAGTAGTTAAAAGAAAATTGCTAGCCAAGAAGACATTAGGCTCCAGACGAAATATTGGAAAAGGGAGTAGCTCAAAGCTTAAAGGGACACTTAACCTTCAGAAAGCTATTTTGAATAATGAATCTGTTGGTCGTTCGAATGGAGCTATACCGATGGAAGTCACGGATGATGCTACTGTGGATGATGAAACTAAAACTGAAAGTGAAGAAGTTGAGGTACCACATTTCAGGAAAGATGACATCAACTCAGAAAAGGAAGCTTGTAGCAAAATCCCACTGATAAAGGAAAATGGTACTGGAGCTGAAGAGACTGTTATCAGAAAGGAAACTGAATTGCCTCAAGTGAAAGATAAAAGTGAAGGTAGAGAGATAAAAATATCCAAGGGCAAGAAACGTCCTTTGGTTAACTCTAAGACGAGTAAGTCGAAGGATTCTGGCGAGGGAGAAAAAAAGGATAAGAAGGAAGAGAAGAAGAGTGGTCCAGCAAGTGAAGAAACTGTTTCATTAGCTGGTAAAACCAAAAAAAGGCCATCCAAGAAGTTAAAAAGCTCAGGTAATAGTGAGAAGGAAAATGATCCTGCTGCAATCAAGCAGCAGAGTGGAAGTGAAAAGCTTCCGGAAAATGATTTCACAACTGTGAAGAGTTGTGTGACTGGGGAGAAAGGTACAGATAAACTTGAGCTAAAAGCTGAACCTGCATGGTTTATACTGAGTGGGCATAGGCTACAAAGAAAGGATTTTCAGCAGTTAATAAAACGATTGAAAGGAAGAGTTTGCAGAGATTCTCATAATTGGTCATACCAAGCAACACATTTCGTTGTCCCAGATCCTGTGAAAAGAACTGAAAAGTTTTTTGCAGCTGCAGCTTCTGGAAGGTATAAGTTTTTAATGTAAGGGGTTCTTGCAAAAAGTAAATAGACAAAAGTAAAAAAATTTAAAATGGGTTTACTCCAATGTGTAAAAAGTCTTTCCTTGTAATTACCATCCAACTTTATATCATTAAAAATTCTGAACAGTACTTATTATCTGATGCACCGACTCCTAATAACTTGGTTTTGCAGATGGATTCTGAAGACTGATTACTTAACAGCTTGCAATGAGGCTGGAAGATTTTTACCAGAAGAGCCATACGAATGGCACAAGAAATGCTTGACCGAAGATGGTGCAATCAACTTAGAGGCACCAAGAAAATGGCGTCTCTTGAAGGAGAAAACAGGACATGGCGCATTTTACGGAATGCGAATAGTCATATATGGAGAATGTATTGCCCCTCCTCTGGTATGCATTTGAGTTGCTCAAGTTTCATTCTTTGGATAGTTAGGGTGTGATTGGATATAAACTTAACCATCACTTTTAATTATTTCTTCCTACTTTTACATCAAATCAACTTTAATTATTTTTATTTTAAATATTATTTTAATTTTAACTTAAATTCCACTAATCATAGAACATTTTTCAAAATTAACTATGGTTAACAAAGAAACCAATATAATCCATATCCAATCACACCCTTATTGGCTGGTTAATATTTTGAACTAAGGTTAATTACAACAGCAAACCCTGAAGTTTATCCTAATTATTGTCCGTATTTTCNAACTGCATTGTTAATTTTCTTCTTTTCGGTATTTGCTCGATCAGGAGACTTTGAAACGCGTCATCAAGGCTGGGGACGGTACCATTTTAGCAACCTCACCCCCTTATACTCGCTTTCTCCAAACCGGAATCGATTTCGCCATTGTCAGCCCGGGAATGCCACGTGTCGACATGTGGGTTCAGGAGTTTCTAAACCGTGAGGTGCCATGTGTCGTAGCTGATTATTTGGTCGAGTACGTGTGCAAGCCCGGGTACCCACTCGAGAAGCACGTGCAGTACAACACGCATTCGTGGGCCAAAAAATCGCTCGAGAATCTGACGAGGAGATTGGAGGCAGTCGTTGAGGATGAAGTGAAAACGCCTCCGAATCATTGCATTGATGATGTGGCGTGCAGGGAGTGTGGGTCCCGCGATCGAGGGGAAGAGATGCTTATATGTGGCGATGAGAGTGGAAGTTTAGGGTGTGGTGTTGGTGTTCATTTGGACTGCCTCGATCCTCCGCTTTGCAGTGTACCGGAAAAAGACTGGTTCTGTACTGAATGTGCACCTAAGACTAAGAGAGGGAGCTCTAGGAATAAGGCTTGTAAATCTAAAAAGTGATTTAATTATTTACCTT